GAATTTCTCAGCCACCCACACTGCACACTGGGGTGCCTCAGACAGATTAGGGGCACCCTTCAAGACTGACTGAACCCTTTCCCAAGCTCCTCCTGCCCCCCACCAACTCCTCCAAGTAAGAGCTGTTTATTTGTTTGTCCAGATGCCACACACTTTTTAAATGTGAGCCACAGAGGGAAGAAGACTGGACAGCCCCAGGTATGAGGTGAGACAGGACTAGGGCAAGACCAGTGGGGCCTGTGCCTCAGGCACAAAATTTAAAGGGTGCCAAAAACCCAGTAATAAATATAAATACTATTTCAATGCAATGTCTTAAAATGAAAATGGATGCATAAAACTCTATGATGAAAACAATAAAATTTGACATATGGATAGGACCATGAGGTTCAGAAGCATCAGGCCTGGGCAGGATTGGGTGGAACACGGGGCTGTGGTTGCAACGGGAGAATCTAATGCTGGCAGAGTCCAGGGGGTGTCAGGAGGCCCGTAAATGGGCCTTGCCCCCCAAAGCCTTGTCCCCATCATTGTTTTATTCTGGACACATGCAAACCTCTACAGACTGGCTGGGAGAACATTTGAGAAGTAAGCTCCAAACTGCTCTGGGTTCAGGGTTCATTCAAAGTTGGCAAAATTTTACTTTTAGTTCAAAGGAAAAAGCCGCTTATCAAAGAGCCCAAGAGATTTCTTGAACCCAGACCTAGTATTTACCTTGCAATATTTTAATGAACGAGGGTTAAATGATTCCAAAACACACAGATTACATTTTCCTAGAATATACACAGTTTGGGAAAATGAAAGGGAAATGGTGTTTTGAGCAAAATACATTTGGGGCTCTGCTGTACCCCAAATATTTAAAATATACTGCAAGGCTTGCCAAATCCCACGTGCTTCTGAGCTCACATAGCCCAGCTCTCAAGTGGAGAATACCTTTCCACCACCGTTCTCCCCAAGAAGCTCTGCTCACGACAGGAAGTCTGTAACTCACTTTCTCTTCTCTAAATAAAGGCATCTCCAAACCTATAGGCCTGGTATACACACCAGAAAGCAAGAAAAAAAGCCAAATACAATTGTTTCAGGTCTTGTCATCCACACAGGATTCTCACACAATTAGGCAATGACATGCCAGGTTCTGACCTTGGGGGACTCTCTCTGATTAAACCAACAGCACTGATTCTCACGTGATGCTACAATCCATCACCAGGCCTTGGGAAAACAGCAACGTTGTCACCAGGCTCATGAGTCCTTACTGAAATCTAAATACACAGATGAACCCAGGAGTGTTGGTCGGTTCAAATTTAGATAGAAGCACCAGGAGCACTTCTGAGTTGGCACATGAGCCACCTGGGCAGACATGACCCTGGGGCTGAGGGACCAGAGCAAATAAAGCTCATTGTGATGAAAGCCAAAATGTTGTGTTTGGGGAAAAGTCTCATTACATGTATGTGACCATCTTCCTAATTCTCCTAAAGCAGGATTAGAAATGGGTATCACACAAATTTAAAAAAAATTCTGAGTCCGAGAACTCAAAGCATCCACTAAACCCTGGTGAGGCATAGTCTCGGGCTTGCAAATGGGTTAGCAGGGCAGAGTCAGTGGAAGTGTTTCCTTCCGTGGGTTTGTTTTGTTCGCTCGTTGGCGTGAGAAGCCAGGCGCATTTCTTGGACCTTGCAAGCGCCGAAGGAGCCCTGCTCTTTGGGGTTTGTGAATCAACAAAGAGGAATGGCGTTTAATATTTAAATATGTCTCATGTAGCCATTAAAAATCTTTTACGAGTGTTAAGCCATTATTAAAGCAAGATGAGCTCTAGGTCATGGACCCTTTCACGGCACTCCCACAGTGCTAATGAGACAAACAGCGTCTCCTCGGACGTGGCTGCCTCCAGCACTGGATTCAGTGCGCCTGCTGAGGCTGAAAAGTCTAAAGGAAAAGAAAATTACCTTTAGAATAACCCTACCCCAGGAACTTTTTCCTTTTCATTGTCTGAACAATAACAACAACGACCCCCCCCCCAACTCAATTAATGTCAAGTCTTTTTTTCTGTGTGTGTGTATGTGCGCACGTACATTTGAAGGGGCTGAGGAGGGACTATAGACCAAAGACAATTAAATACATGGATATTGATAACACACATATATGCCTGTATTCCCTGGACCACGTGAGTTATAGCTCTAAAAATTATGTACCATCTTATGTTTAGGGATGGCATTATGTTCCACCCCAACCTGTCATCCACCCTTTCCATGACAACTGAAGCGATGACAGAAGGGAAGGACAATGATGGCCAGCGCGTGGAAAGCTAAAACACGGTGAGCACACTGCATAAGAAAACACGTGAGTGTGCACGGATGCTGTGAATGTCACACAGCAGCTTGCTGGGAAAGTTACCTTGCTCACGAGGCTGTCTCACACTGGCTGAAAATCAAAGCGTCGTTATACCCCATTGCCAAGCCAAATCCCGCAGAGAGAGGCCATCATGCAGATGAACAGTTAAGATACTTATATGTGTAAATGTTCACACATGAACATCTTTCACTCCACCCTAAAGGGGATAGAGTTCCATACTCAGCTGCCTCACAAGGTAGATTCCCCCCAACAGTAATGTAATGGCAACTCTCACACCGAGAGCGTGAAACATGAATGTCTTGTGGTTTCCAGAGCACATATTCAGCACAAAACTTCATTATAACCTAGTTTGATGTTGTGTCTAACAACTTACTAGGTGCTTTAAGCATTTATTAAAATGAAACAACCAAGGATTACATAATATGGACCTCTGAGTACTGTTATTGATAGGATCTTAGTTTTGAAACAAACAGTGACGGAAGAGAGAACAATTTCCAGTGTTTTTCAACTCCATCCTAAAGTCCAGGCATTTAGAAGAGATTTTCACAATTGGCAGGTGGTGGCCAGAGGGCCAAAAGGACATCGAAGACTTCCAGTCAGTTTACCTCGGTTGCTGCGATACTGTTAATAGCACTATGACATTCCACGCAAGCTCATCAGACTTCACTGATGTTTTCAAGATTCATTTGGTCACACGGGGCAAAGACGGCTCGTTCAAGGTGCCCCAAAGTAAGAGGCCTGGGGGACTGAGACTGGAAGCGGAACACAGCCATAAATTGAGGTGGCTTTTGCTCTGTGTCGGTGTACGAAGTTGTGTGTGTCTGTCTTATTCCTCCTCCGTCTAGGGCTGCACAGAGCCCCACTCACACCTGCTCATGCACCTCTGCCCTGAGCTTCCTATTCTCCTGGTCCTCGCCTCGTTCCAGCCTGTGACTGGTTGTTTCTCTGGTTCCAAGTCTGCCTCATGGCTTTTCAATTCAGTTCCTAAAGCTAACGTGCTCAGGCTGTGAATTTCCTCAGTTCTAAATTCTGAGAGAACAGAGAGACGATGTCTCCCCTTTTCCACCCAGACACCTCCGCTGGAGGTCCCCACAAGCCCGACAGGCCATCGTTGGATCACATGTGCCCCAGCAATCCAATCCGGTGTCCTAGGCCATGGAGTCACGGACTCCGCAGGGCCTTGGCTGGCCGTGAGGGGAGACAGCTCACATCACCAAGGGCACGAAAGGACAAAACACTGCCCCAGTAAGCTGCTGCTGCCAGGTTAGCAGACACGGGACGGCGATGGCCGCAGCGTAAACGACTAATGGGAGAACTCTTTTTTCACTTCAATCTGGAAACACTTCAAAGGCAAAAGTCTTGCCCCTTGTATTTTAGGGTTAAAAGAAAAAAATCTTTGACTACAAGAGTGCACATAAAAAAGAAGGCATTCCCTGCTAATAAGTAATTAGAGGCAAACATTTTTCAGACAAAAGCGAGTGGAGCAAGGTATCCTTGGAAACAAAACTGGTTAAAACTACATGACAATAACAACAGCAGGGCTCTGGTACGTGAAATGACGATGTCAGGACAGTGTGCAGGAGGGTCAAGATGACACTCCGCAGAGAAGCAGCAGCCAGTAGAGACCCCAAGAGAAGAAACGCAATGTTGAGAAGATACTGCTGCTATTAGTATGTCATTATTTTCAGGATCTATATTAATGTCTTTTATTAGCTATCCTTGGTCTGGGTTTTTAACAGTCCTTAGTGAGGAGGGGCTTAGAAAAGAACACAAACCAGTTATGTTCTTATTGATCACTGCTACTCATAATTAATTATGCTTACATTGACTGATGTATAACAAACTATATACGTTTTTCTTTTTTTTAATTAATTTATTTTTGTTACAGATGTTTCTCCTTTTTCCCCCCATTGACACCCTCCTCCTTATCCCCTGCCACCCCACCCCCAGCTTTGTTGTCTATGTGCATCGGTTATGTGTACATTCATAGAAGTTCTGTGGTTTATTCCTTCCCTCCCCCTCACTCCCTCTTCTGAGGATTGTCAGTCTGTACCCTATTTCTATGACTCTGGGTCTATTTTGTTCATCAGCTTATTTAGTTTATTATATTCCAGAAATAAGTGAGATCATGTGATATTTGTCTTTCTCTGCTTGGCTTGTTTTGCTTAGGATAATGCTGTCTAGGTCCCTCCATGTCATCTCAAAGGAAAAGAGATCTTTCTTTCTTACAGCTGCATAGTACTCCATTGTGTATATGTACCACAGCTTTGTTATCCATTCGTCTACTGATGGACACTTGGGCTTTTTCCAGATCGTAACTATTGTAAATAGTGCTGCTACAAACATGGGGGTACATATTTTCTTTCCAATTGGTGTTTCAGGCTTCTTAGGGTACATTCCTAGAAGTGGGATCACTGGGTCAAATGGCAGTTCAATTTTTAATTTTTTGATGTAACACCACAGTGTTTTCCATAGTGGCTGCACCAGTCTGCATTCCCACCAGTAGTGTACTAGAGTCCCCTTTTCTCCACCAGCACTTGTTGTTTGATGATTTGTTGATGGCAGCCATTCTGACAGGTGTGAGGTGATACCTCATTGTTGTTTTAATTTGCATCTCTCTGATGATTAGTGACATTGAGCATTTTTTCATATGTCTCAAAAATATAGAACGCTTCACAGATTTGCACATCATCCTTCCTCAGGGGCCATGCTAATCTCTGTATCGTTCCAATTTTAGTATCTATGCTGCCGAAGCGAGCACCTATATATGATTTTCAATCCATGGTAGAACTTAAGCATACATATCTCCCATTCATTCAGTCTGGAAATAGATGCTTCTGTTGCTGCCCTTCCCAGGAGGTTTTAAAAAACAGGAAAATGACACAGCAAGGCTGTCTGGAGCTTTTTCTTTCAAAATGTTGTTTTAAAGCAATTGCTTAGTCTCTCATTACTACCTCAGCCATCTCCCCAGCTGTTTCAAGGACAGAAACAGAAAGGCCAGCAATCTTCTAGTTTACAACTCTATTCTCAATCCACCATAGAACAAGAAGTGTTACCCAGATTTAATATAAAAGAATACCTTTTATCCCATTCCTCCCTTCCCCCACCTTATTTTAAGGATGTAGATAATGTCAAGATTAACTAACTCAAACATACTCCAATCTTCTTTACGGCACTGGGACCTAAGCTCCGCAAGGGCAGCGAGCGAGCATGCCTACTCTGCTCCCCTGGAGCCTAGTACAGAGTTGGCCCAGGATAATGACTCAATTAGTATGTGTTGAATGATTCAATTAATTAATTGGTAGTAGGCAGGAAGGGAGGAAAGGACAAAGGGAGGTAAGGGTCACTAATAACATCTTTACAGGATTTTCCTCCCATCTTGTTAGATATTATTATACTAGAAGAATCTAAATCTGTACGGTTTAATGAACACAGCTGTTAGATCATACTGAATGATAGACCCAGACCTTTTAAGTTAATTGAATCTAAAAGAGCCAGCCAAAAAAATGGCAGACCTCCTTGTCCTCAGCTAAGCCAGTTAGTAGTGTCGGGGCTCTAGGGTCGTTGTCAAACACGTCTGAATTTTTGAGCTGACGTTTTGGAATTTACTAGGTTAATACCTATATTGTGACTCACATCAGACATTTTAGAAATGAGCAAAATGATGTTAATTATGATTGATGACCCTGACCATATCCTGATTACTATATGCAGTTTCATCATTTCACTGCCTATTAGCTCATATCAATGTCTGCTTATAAAAGTGTTCCTAATGTTTACAACGAGAGGCCTTGGTGATTACAGCCATATAAATGTGTGAATAATTGAGAGGTTATGCCGCAGTACACGCCTCATCAAGCTTCCTCGTCAAGTCTCAAGAACATATTTAAAGCTCAACACTAGACCTCAATTATGCTTGAATTACCAGCAAGGAAGAAAAAAGCTAAGCTACATTAACAAAGCTGTCAAAAAACACCCTCTGCTTTAAGTTTACTTGGACAACTGGGCAGTGGAAATAGTTCACTCTGGTAAAGATTCTACTACATTTAGAAGAAGAAGAAGAAGAAGAAGAAGAAGAAGGAGGAGGAGGAGGAGGAGGAGGAGGAGGAGGAGGAGGAGGAGGAGGAGGAGAGGAGGAAGAAGAACCCTGAAATTTATTGAGTACCTTTCTTTGTCCTCAAGATGACAGATGAAAAGTCAATCTTGACAAAAAGATTGTAAAGTTGACTAGGTTGCCAAATTTCTATTGCAGATTCAGTACAATTAATATAGAGAGAAGTGAAACATTTATATATGTATGATCTAATAAGATCATACATATATTACAGTGATCTCAATAAATTACGAAGGACCCAGCAATAAAATAATCTGGTATTGTATGTACTACCCAAAGATACAATTAAATACCAACTAATTTTGCTTTGACTCCTTAAAAGAAGGTTCTGCAGTTTGGAACTGAAACTAACCCAATACATACTAAAGAGTTCTATCCTTTTCCACAAATAAATCGACATTTCACACAATGTTATTTTTTAACTCACCTTTATTGTTGAATATAGTACAGATTGTTGAATATAGTATAGTTCCCCCCTTTTTTCCCCATTGACCCCTCTCCTCCCCAATCCCACACCCCTCCTGCCTTCCCCACATGATTGTTGGTGTCCATTGGTTATGCATATATGCATAGAAGTTCTTTGGTTTATCTCATCCCCCCCCTTCCCTTTGAGGTTCATCAGTCTAACAACAATTTGTACTTCTTATTTCCTTCATCTTTTTCAAGGATACTTCAAATTTCAGGAATAACTCCCAATTGTTCTAATATGAAAAGTAAAGGGCATAATGTGGTACAATTAGAAAATCATAATAACCACCAAAATGTATTAAAATTCAAGTCCATGTTTATTTTTAATGTATGTAATCTATTTTGCAATCTGTACAAACAGTCCAAGTGCAGGTCATCTTGGATTGCTCCTCTAATGCTAGGGTTTTTACTTTAAACTGTCCGCAGATAAACTTGATAAATTCCTTACCCTGAATCCCATATTTATGTAAACTAATCCTTAGCACTCAAAATAGAACATATTTCTATCACCCTAGTGAGCAATCCCTATTTTAAAATGTCTCTTGATTTATTTGAAGTTTTTCTCAGCACCTTGCCTTAGATGAAGGTAGCATCACATAGGAAATGTTAGACTCTTTGTGCTGTGAGGAGCCTTAAAGGCCAACACATCCTATTCTCTCATCATAAAGAGGAGGGAACAATGGTTCAGAGAATTGTGAGTCCTCCAAGGCCATGTACATAATGCAGGGGCAAAGCTTGGACTGCGGTCCAGTTCTCTGACTTGTACTCTGATTCTTCCTCCATGGAGTCTTCCAACACCAAATGCCTCTCAGCAGCCACCACCATTTCCCTCCCATGAAAACTCTACTGAAGAAATGTGGTGAATCCACTCAGCAAGTGTTCATTGTGTACCTACATGCGTGGCACTCTGGAAGGTAAGGTGGGCAGGTACAAAGCTGACTAAGGATTGGGTCCCTGTCCTTGGGAGAAAAAGATATTCCCAGATGACCATCAGCCATAGTTCGTAACCTCACAGAAGGGCTGCCATGGCAATAGTACAAGGAGAGTGTTGCAGGTTAAAAGACCTCAGAGGGCTTTGCGAGGTAGATGGCATTTGAGGGTGATGAGGAAGTTTGTGGCAGGTGGCTTTGGTGTTCATTCTGGAGAATTCATTCATTATGCCAAACTAGTTCAACTTTAGTAAAAGAGCCTTTCACTAAAAAATATAGTTTAAAAATATAGTTGCCCAGATGGTGTGGCTCAGTGATTGAGCATTGACCCATGCACCAAGAGGACACTGGTTCAATTCCCACTCAGGGCACATGCCCAGGTTGTGGGTCCAATCCCCAGTGGGGGGCATGCAGGAGGCAGCCAACTGATGTTCTCTCTCATTGATGTTTCTATCTCTCTCTCCCTCTCCTTTCCTTTCTTTCTAAAATCAATAAAGAAAAAAAGTTTTTAAAATATAGTCGATTATACCTGGTCAATGGATGGGGGTCAGAATGTTACTACTGCAGGAGAGTAAATGCACATTTATCCATGACTTTGTCTAATTTATTTGTACAGATGAATCCGTCCCCAACACAATGCTTTCAGTTATAGTAAGGCATTAAGAGCAAGTATTATTTCATTTCTTTTATGGATAAAAAATAAGGATCAGAGAAATTGAAGACTTTCCCACAGATACATGGCTGACAAGTTGCAGAACTGAGGCTAAAACCTACCTCTCTTCATTCCCTGCGTTCTCCACACCCCTATGTTGTCTTTGCAAGTTTACGGCTTTCAAATCTATTTTTATGAGCATTGAGTAAGAAAGGGGGAAGGACAAATGCAAGGTCACAGACTTTCAGAATGCCACTACAAAACCAACCTCGATACATCAGATACAGCTGTCCCCCACTCTGCACTCACTCATGACCACCATCAAAACTCATCAGCAGCCTAGTGTTATCAGGCAGCATCCTGTCGGTACAGTCCTTCAGGCATTGCATATACATTGGCCATCTTTCCAAAGAAAACTAGAAACACCTGGATCATGTTAGGTCACTTCTGAGTTTCTACAGCTGGGTTTTATGCTTCTCCCCTCTTAAGGAGTTGACAATCTGGAAAAATCTTGATACTCAGCCAAGAAAACAAGAGCCTTTCATTTTGAACATGGACGTTTCTATATGTTCTGGCGAAGGAGTGAAGTGGGGAGAGTGAGCTGGAAATTATTCCTTATGGTGGATAAATAAAAGTGTGGGCAATGAGAGAGATGGGTCATGACCTTCTAGTACGGACATATTAAAGCAAGAAAACCACCCCATTTTCTCCCCAAACAATATTCTTCAGCATAACAAGTGGCTGCATGGCTCAGTGGCCTCAGTCGGGAGTGCCCGGTGGACAGGAACTTCAGGCCACCTGTGTTTCGGCTGGACCATCTGCTGTGTGGGTCCATGCAGCTGGGCCTCCACGCTGCCAATCCTCTGCACTGTCGCACAAAGACGCTCGAAAATCTCACTCCAAGTAAAGGGCAGGGGCCCAGGGGGCCCGGGGGCCAGGGGACCAGGGGTGGGTGGCCCTGCTTACACTGGAGCACATGGTTTCTCTGGTTAAAAGACTTCTGATGTCAAATTAGTCATCAATTTAGCTATTTTTTTCCATGAGTCTAAACCCTGACTTTCTGAATGTAATGTGTAGATGTAAAATATCCAAACCATGGGAAAAGCTACAGTTTCCAGGACATGAACCTTGAGGCTAGCAAAGTTCGAGTAAATTTGACATGGACCAAACATTGCTTCCCTACCAGTCTGTGAGCTAAAACGTCATCATGCTGAACATCAGAGGAGTAGGTGTCCTACCCAAAGGCACACGAAATATCTATGACAGTGTGGAATAAGGGCTCTGTGGCTTTCTGTCTTCAACAAGAACAGGCCAAGGTGTACATGAAGGAGGGGTTGTAAATGCCACTTGGCATTTGTTAATTGTAAAATGTGTGCATCACCCAGCAGGGAGAAAGGCAAGGCAAGAGGGAAAATTCTGCAGGATGCTGTATCATTCCCTTGACCCAACTGGAATTATTTACACATATATTTATTTCCCATCAGTGTATGACTCAGTGTTTGTGTGCAGCTAGAAATATAAGGGCAGGTGTGTCTCTTGTTAAAAAAAAGTCCCTCCCAGCCCGGCTGCTGAGGCTCAGTGGTTGAGCATAGACCCAT